AGACTCGTCCCGGACGATTCAGTCCAGAAATCACTCCAGAGAACATTCCAGAAATCAACTGTTTTCAATACACTGATCGGCCTGGACGATCTCACCATCGTCCCGGCCGATCCTGGGGAAAAATCACTTTTCCCAGCAGCTACAGCAAAGGAACGAGGTCTCACAAAAAGACTCATTGTCAGTGCAACTTTGAGCTCATCAAGCGAAGCGAACCTAGGTGTGGGAAACCCCATATCTCCAAACGTTTTAGAACCTCTTCGAGCTGCTTGCACTGGGTCGTTACGTGGTTCAGGTCTTCCAATTGATTGCACCCAATCGGGCAATGCACATCGGTACACAGGCTGCGACGGTTCAGCCACCCGCACGTAGGGATGAGGTCCATGTAAATCCTCCACCAAAATATTCGCTCACGGGGTCTTCACCCGATCTTCAGAATGGTGCAGACCTGGTTCTCTTCACCTTGGAATAAAGAATCATAGCAGATAGCTGAGATAGAGGTGCCAAGTGGACATTTACTGAGTTCCAGCGAGTCTGCATCAAGTTCCGTCCAAAGCTTGACATCACAAATCCTGTCAACAAGTGTTTCTCCAAAACAAAGCAGCAGCTTATGTCGATTTCAACAATTATCCGAAGTGATAAACTCGTTGACCGAGCAGCCTTCAATCCTCTCAATGTTGCAAAAAGTAGGCCATAGGGAAATAGCCGAATCCAGGATCCATATATGATTTACAATGTCGATATTGACTCCATTGCACACCTTCCAGCAAACATTGTTACTCAAGCTGTTCGCCCCATCGCAAATGATTCTCCACCCGCAAGAATCACCCCGTTTCCGATCTTGCTGCCATGGCCATGCACCATAAGTATGTCTCATGCATCTTTGAAATAAGTTTTGGGGCTTATGTAGGAAATCCCACGCAATTCTGGCTCGCAACGGTCCAATCCAGTTGTGACTAGCATGGAAACCAAGGCCTCCCAGCCGCCTTGGTTTGGTGATATCTCCCCACGCAGCATAGTGCAGGCTCTTATGGGTCATATCTTTATCCCACAGGAATCGGCGACAAATCCTTTCCACCTCAGCAAGAACTCCCCGAGGTACCAATGTGTGTGTTATTGCATAAACCGAGAGAGGGAGTAACACCGAATTGATCATGGTAATTCTGCCAGCCAGGGATAAGTGACGAGTCCCCCAGGAGATCGTGAGTGCATGCACTTTAAGTAGTAGAGAGCTGAAGTCAGCCTTCGTAAGCCTCCGCATTGCAAACTTGACACCAAGGTAGTCCATTTCCTCCACCTTGCGGCACCCAGCAAGCCTGGCCAATCGGTTCTTAGTCGACGAAAGCACGAGATGACTAAACAGGATCGCCGATTTGTTCTTGTTGATTCGCTGCCCCTTCCAGCCACAATAGTTCTCCAGAATGGTTATAAATTTTCTGACATTGGCAGCGTTCACACCTGCAAAAAATAAAACATTATCAGCGTAAAGGAGGTGGGACACAAGAGGTCCCCCCGAACGGATTTGAACCCCCAGCTCCCGGTAGTTTTGGTGAAAATGCAGCGAGAGTAGCTCCGAGCAAAGAATAAATAGGTACGGCGAGAGCGGGCACCCCTGCCGGAACCCACAGCTAGCCGTAATCCCCTCCGAAAGTGTCACATTAACCAGAATAGAAAACGAGGCGTGGTGACACAGTTTAGCACCCAAGTACGAAACCTCAGGGGGAAGCCCATCTTCAAAAGCACCAGTTCCAGAGTTTTCCAATTCATCTTATCATAGGCCTGCTCCATATCCACCTTCAAAGTCATCCAACCCCTGGACAATTTGGACACCTTGAATTTGTTTACAATCTCTTGCCCCAGAAGACAATGATCGGAGATCGATCGACCATGCACAAATGCTGCTTGCTCCTCAGAGATAAGGTTGGGTAAAATGCCTTTGATTCGGGAAACAAGTATCTTCGCAATAATCTTATAGATAGTTTGGCATAAGCTGATAGGTCTGAATTTGGAAGGATGGTTCAGTTTGTAAACTTTCGGCAATAGGACAACAACCGTCTCCTTCCAAGTCGGCTCCATATGCCCATACGAGAAGAATTCGAAGCACGCCAGCATAACTTGCTCGCCCACAATGTCCCAGAAGGCCTTAAGGAACGAAGCTGTCACGCCATCCCTTCCTTGTGCACGATTTGGCCCCATGGATTTGATAGCAAGCCAAATTTCGTCCCGGGTAATCTCCCTGTCAAGGTGCATAGCGAACTGCTCCATGTTCACCAATCTGGACTCCAATGAAGGCCATCCCGTCTCATTAATAGGTGTGTTGGTCCATTTTTGTGCAAAGAAATCATGAACCACCCGCATGATGTCCGCCTGCTCCGTTGCAGCCTGACCGTCCGGAAAGTTCATGTGCTCAATTTGATTAGATCGCCGCCTTGTAGAGGCCATGGAATGAAAGAACCGGGTGTTCCCATCCCCCTCCTCAATCCACCACACCTTAGCGCGCTGCCCCCACCACATCGTAATTCTAGCCATAGTAGCCTTTAATAACTGCACCTTGTACCTCATAGTTTCAGATTGGGCCTCAGAGAGCCCAGCGGAGAGCACTCAAGCTCCTGGAGAATTCTAATTTCCCCGTCAATATTATCTTTCAACTGACTTAAGTAGGGATGGGGATGGGAATGGCAATGGGTGGTTAAGGCGACCACTGGAGGGGAGTGGCAAAGGCAACCAATGATGGAGATAGCTTGCAGTGGTGGTGGAGGTTGCTAATAGAGGGTGACAACATTGGCTTGGGCGATGTCTGGTTGCTACAAGTGGAATTGTTGGCTAGCTGTGGAGGTGGTTGGCATCATCTTGCAGTGATAGTGGGTGGTGTTAGTTTTGTATGGAATTTGATTTTGTCAATCAATCAAGTTGTATTACTACCACGAACCTCAATTCCATCAATCGAGCTTGCTGGGGGGTTGCAGGGGGTCCTCCTCCTACTTGGGTTTTGATACAACATTGTGGTGTTGTATAGTTTTCTTAGAGATAGATAGAAAGTGAAGTGCCACAGTGCTCCAAACCCTGACATTGGTGGCACCTGGTGCTCCTTGGCAGATTGGAGACAGAGAGTTGAGCGCCTCAGTGCTTCAAACCTGGCATAGCTAGAAAATTTTCTTTCTCATTTTTCATGAAGTGTTGCATCCCTTGGTGATTTCAGTATTTGTTTTTTCTTTGTTTGTTCATGTGAGAGAATGATGCGAGAGTGTTAAGAGATAAAGAGACGCTGAGAGAGAAGGACATAAGTACGATTTTTCTCTCAAATTTCATAGTTAATTTCTTGGTATAGTGTGGCTCCATGATTTGTTTCCCGATTTCCAGTTTTTACATATTAAATCCTAGTGTTCTTTCTTTCCACTGGAATTTTCTATTTATTGCTTGTGTTTGTTGCGTGGTTTTACTTTACCAACCAGTAATATGAGAGCTATGTTTTTCAGTTGGAGTGGGAGTAATGGCTAACAAAATAAGATGGAATATTGACAAGTTCAATGGTTCAAACTTTTCATTATGGAAGATGTAAATTGAAGATTTGTTATATCAGAAGAAGTTATATTTGTCGTTGTATGGAATCACCAAGAAGTCAGATTCAATGACTATGGATGAGTGGGAGGTTCTTGATCAGACAACCCTATGTTTGATTTGATTTTCACTTTCTTCATATGTTACATTCAACATTATAAATGAGAAGACTATATTTGATCTTATGATTGCATTGACTAAATGTATGAGAAGTTGTCAGCATCAAACAAAGTGTTCTTGATGAAGAAATTATTTAATATGAAGTATTAGACAACACTTCAATTATAAAACATTTAAATATATGAACATTGTGATACATGAAATTAGATAGCTTTGGTGATGTTATTAAAAGATTAAAAAAAAAACTTTCAAATTAAATTTTGGAGCTTGACAATTGGTATCAGAGAAATGTTGTTGAAAGAATTAATTGTTACCAAAACTATAGAAAATTGGTTATGAGTTGGGTAGATTAATGTGTATAGTTTTACATTCATAAATGATTAGCATTTCATTGCGTAAATGAATGATATGTGATTGATTGAACATATGATTACATGATATAAATTGATTGACTTTGACAAGATTTAGTTTTAAGTTTGATTTGATTTGAGTTTTAGCCATACATGTTTGTTTTATATCTATTTTGTGCCCAAATTCTTAAGAGAAATGATGTGGATGATATTTTCTTAATGTGGGTAGATTGTAATAGCCCACATTAAATCAGTTATACAATTTTTTTTAGGAACAATGATAATATTGATACATATTAATGTTTTGAATTATAGAATTTATTTTTGTTGTTTATTACTGATAGATGAAGTTAGATAGCTCTGATGTTGTCATTAAAAGATAAAAGAAAGAATTCTTTCAAATTAGATTCTAGAGTGTGACATCATGGGAATTTTCCCAATAGTCATTAGATAGTAAAAGTTCATTATTAAGATTATTGACTACATAAAGTGGTTGTAAGAGAAGCCACTCATAAAATTCTTAATATAAAATTATTAATGAAAATGATCATCACTAATAATAGGATTTAATTCATTAGAAAAAATCTTATATATTTTTACAAAGATATATATTCAATTGGTCCATATAGCTATTTTATATCCTCAAATGAATAGACAATAGAAGTAATAAATTGAATCATTCTTAAATAATTACTTACACTCCTTGAAAAAGTTGGGAGCAAGGGGTCAATGAGCTTTCCAATGTAGTTAGGCTTATTGCATGACATCAAGAGTTCAAATAAGAAAAATACTTTATATATATGCTTCAATAAAGAGATCCTGACTTCTGTTAGTATTTATGTCCTAAGCCATAAGGTCAAACCTTTTTCATATAGCTAATTATGAGAACAAGCTCTATAATCTTATTAATCTTCTTTTAGAAACACATGATGCAGATTCTTCCTGACTTATCACTTTTATAAGTCCAGTCTCGCCAACTCTTGAAGCTGATGGGAAGGAACCTTAACACAATAAACTATCACCTCTCTATGAGGTGCCCTGCGTGTTGTTTATCATTGTCAAGTCAGAATTATTCAAACTTTAAGATTCTAACAGCTTTGGAGGTATTATTAATGACCAATAATAACCATAATTTATAAAAGCTTCATATATAATTCCTAATTATACTTCTACTCAATAGACAAGATTAATGTCCACAACCTTAAAAGGACATGAAGAGTTCACCTTTAATTTAGGATAAGCATGGTATTCACCCCATCCTAATTAAAATATAATAATTCCTAGTAGGATTTGATTTGACTTTTTTATATAGGTTAATATTATTGAGTAATACTATGAAAAATAACTTTGGATAGGTAAAAAATTTATAAGTGGATTTGTTAATGTCTTTTGTCATAGGTTAATTTTCAGGGTGGCATCTCATCCTCACAACCTAAGGAAGAAAAAAAAACATCAAAGAAAATATGCTTTTTTTAAGGGACCACCCCCAATTTTTTTCAATAAAAAGAAAATTACAATAACCCACACAAAGTCAAAAAAATGCTTACAACATTAGAGAACAAAGACTCTAAACGACTAGCTAAGATGACAAAAACACGACACATAAATAAACACAAGAAAGAAACGAATTCTATAACCCAAAAGGACTCAGTAATGGTAATTCTGCACCCACCAAGTAGCGAAGAACTGACCATCCATTGGCGGTAGTAAGCCACAAAGCAATCAGCCGAAGATCTGAAAAGGAATTAAGCAACACCCCAAAGGCACTGAGAAAACCACACCAACCACCAAGGTTGCCTGCTCAAGGCAAACCCGGGGTTATGCAAAATTGCCTCATCATAGTCCGGAATCCAAAACAAAAGCCAAAACAAGCACAACACGAATCACTTTTTTTCTTAGATTTAATTTTAGATCTTTTTTCAGCATCACTTGAAACTGCATAATCAACTACTCGGCCCACCATGAAATTATACATATCTTGAGAATCATGAAAATCATTTGGAATCTCATCGACATCGACATCAGACACATTCAATCAATCAGAATGATCCAAACGTGAGTTACTTACTCTCAAAGCTAGATGGGCTTTCAACTCCACATTGGACCTAATCGAAATCAGAATATCAACAAAAGCTATCGATAAAGCCTAGTTAACTGAAGGACTAACTGCATCCTCGACCACAGTCCCATCATGTAGAGCCCCATTAGAAACCTCAACATCCTTAATAGCCAAAGTATCACAAATAACATCTGGTCCCAAAGGATTAGAATCTAAAGCCATAACAACATCCTGATCATTATCATCAATAGAGTTTAGAGCCAGACTAACTGGCTTCAAAGAATCAGAATAAAATTATTCCTCATCATCAACATTAATAGAAGAAGAAACCATAGTAGAGACATGATTAACCAAGTAAGGGATATGGCTCATGGCACCCACACTATGGATAATAGAATCATTGACAACATTACCCATATTGTTACAAATACCCTCCTTAAGACCACCAAAAACAACATTAACTACAGGTTTACAAAACTCCTCATTAACACCTCCATCAATAACAATATCAGTATCCAAAATAATAGGGCCTACAAGGGCTAAAGCCACAGGTTTAGCATCACAACCAACACCCATTAGAACAGTAGTTTCCATAGGAAGGTCAGCATCATTCAAAACCCCCTAACCCCCTCCTCATTAAGAACCAGTGACAATACAACAATAACATTACTTTTAGCATTCGTACTAGGCAAAACATAATTCAGGTGAGAATGCGGATCAGACAAAAGAGCAGAGGAAGAACACTCGCCTCTAATATGACCAAGATGCTTATAGGACTCGCATAAAGCAAGAAATTCCTCCATCTGCACCCTTTGAACATACCCAGATTTCTCAGGCCCAAGCCAGATTTGCTTAGGAATTTTTTTAGTAATGTCCAGTTTAATTAAGACCCGCGCAAGAGATGGCCTAGAACCAATAGAAGTGGCATTGTCGACCTTCAATGGCCGACCAAACATAGAACCTAGAGCGTGGAGGATACAAGGAGAGAAAAGATGGATCTTAAATTGGGAAAGGAAACTCATATCGAATTACCAGAGATTCAAAACCGACATCTAGAAACGGGGACCATTTTATGAGTTTCATGAAGTAATTATTCACAAAATAGAATCTATGGCAAAAAAACTCTACTATAATCTAGGTCATTAGAAAGCTTAATCAGAACGTGTAGCTGATCAAGAACAATCACAGAGAAATTGGCATTCAGCTTCAAATTGAAGAAGAATTTGTGAATTGCATCCAGAGAAGGATGATGCATAGGAAAAAGCCAACCATAGCAAATTGAAAAGGAATTAAAAGAGCCAAAATTTCTTCATCTGAAATCCACAAAGATGGCAAACCATGAAAAGAACAATGTTTGAGCTCAGGAAAATAAATAGAAGGCGGAGAATCAAAAAGGGATTAACAAATGACCGTGGTTTAAATGACCCATTCAAAAAATCAGG